CTTATCCGAGCATGCAGATACAGCATGCCTTCAAAGATTTATTTCCTTTGTTGAATTGCCTGCTTGGTTCACACTAGATGCGATTTAAAATTGTGCTTTTTGTTGGCAATTTCACCGTGTTTTCCGTAGATTTACCAATGAGTTATTGCGTTTTCAATTGTGTTTTGCATTGTGATTTCTATTGTAGTCTATATGTGAAATGCTGAAAAAGTTAGACAAGAACTACTTTTGAAATTGTGCTGCAGCAAATCGCTTACATTAAGACACTCACATCTTTTGTGACGATTTGCATAGATATCTGTGTCAGATGTCTTGCAAATCGCAAGGAAATCAGCATCTTCACTGTACGTCACACAATTTCTAAATCGGCTTTGATGTGACCGGGGTGTAAGGCCTTTTTATGTTTGATTTCCTGAGTGATTTTCCGATTTATGGGAAATACCAAATACTAGCAAAAGTGAATTGACATTTTCAGTATTGCATGTGACTGCCTTAACTCATGCGATAATCTGGAGTGAATTGTGCCCATAGTGCCAAGAAATATTGCCAATGGGGTTCCCTGTTGTATGCTGCACAGGTACACTTCACTGTGGCTTTCTTTCTGACTCTGATTTGTGGGGCCTGTATACCAAGGCTTAAAGCAAGTGGGAAGACAATTAATCAGGTGCAAATACTTTCTCTGACCAAATGAATGACAGTGGTGGGTGTGGCCTATGTTATATAAAGAGTTGCAGTAGTGGTAATTATCCTTGTACAGGCCAGGTTATTTTCTGCAAGTCCTTGCCTGTGGTGGTGATTGGAGAGGAAGAGATATTGTGGTGAATTGCCCCAGGCCACACTCATGCTGTGTTTTGATGTGGGCTGTAAATGTTTTGCATTTTTTTCCTTTTAAGGTGTGTTTATTATCTTTGCATTGTAATCCTAACACATGTCAATTGCTCTGCTCTTCCCAGTTTGCTTTATTTAGACTGAAATGCAGTTTTCAGACAAACCTGATGAGAAATGTATGTGTGGGGGATTTGGGGAGGTGGGAGGTGTTTTATTTTGGCACCTATGTATTTTTATATTGATATTTTGATCTGCAGCCTGTTTTGTGGATAGATAAGCCTACTACGTGATTCATATTAACTGTTTGTTTTCTGCTGTAACCTGTGAAAGCACAGTTCATTAGAAGTATAATCTTTTAGATTGTAAGCTCTTATGAGCAGGACCGTTCTATTTTAGCAACATCAATCCTTTTTTTTTTTTAACAAGAAATTGAATGTACCTACTTGTTGTTGCTGTCCAAATAAATGTGGAATGTGTATTTGATCAATAAACTTTTGGACTATGTATTTTTGGAGGGATTTCATGTTCTAGTTGAATGTACTAGCACCTCTAACACTTATATTTTGCGAGCTATATAATATACCCAAATCTTCCTTGTTAGAGTGCACATATACAAGTATGTCCAAACTAACAAACCAAAAGCCCCTATTGCACCACAAGACATGTTATGTACCAATGAATAGGTCGTGTTCAATGTGCAGCTAGCTATTTTTCTACAATCCTCTTAACAGTAATAAATTAGGCCCCCAATGTATGTTGGGTGAGGTCCGGGAAGCCTCTAATTCAAATTTTAGGGATCATTTAGACAGAAAGCAAAGATGCTGCCACCAGCACCTGTATGTTAGGGTAGTCACCCAGGGAGATCATGCAAATTAATTGCTGTGGTTGGGATTCAAACCAACAACCCTAGCGCTGTGAGGCAGCAGCGGTAACCACTAATCTACGCAGCTGCTGAACACTAATCCCGCCTGTATTTCTGTGGTGTGAATCACCCTTAATTCCCTGGGCAAGGTCAGTGTAACTAGCCAGATATCTCAAATGTGGCACAAATGTTGTGCTATGTTGCCAATTCACATGTATGTTGGTTCTATATATCCCAATACAAAGGATTGCAATAGTAATACAGGCGTACCTTGGTTTCCCAGTGCCTCAGTTAATGTAATAACATAATAATAACGAATGAAAATCCATTGAAAATAATGCCTCGGTTTACACAATTGTTAATTTTTTTTCGCAATACAAAGTGTATGTCGGCGCTGATTTTTAAATGCAAATGCCAGCCTTTTTTTTTTCTTCACTATAGTTCACAAGCTTAGATGTCACTTTCCCTGAAGTTACAGAAAATGTATCTTTTAATAAACTCAAAGTAAACATTGTTTCCTTTAGGGATATAAATTCAAAGAAAACTTTCTCTTTTAGCTGGGGGAAGTGACAGCTGAATTTCTGAGCTATAGTGAAGGGGTAACTCCACGCCAAAATGTAAAAAAAAAAAAAAAACGGCGTGGGGTCCCCCCCAAAATCCATACCAGACCCTTATCTGAGCTTGCAGCCTGGCAGGTCAGAAAAGAGGGGGACGAGTGAGCGCCCCCCCTCCTGAACCATACCAGGCCACATGCCCTCAACATGGGGGGGTGCTTTGGGGCAGAGGGTCTCCCCCCCAAAGCACCTTGTCCCCATTTTGATGGGGACTAGGGCCTCTTCCGCACAACCTTGGCCGGTGATTGTGGGGGTCTGCGGGCGGGGGGCTTATCAGAATCTGGAAGCCCCCTTTAACAAGGGGGCCCCCAGATCCCGTCCCTCCCCCCCCCACATGATTGAGTACATGGTACCACTACTAATTCACAAAAAAACAAAAAGTGTAGTGTAAAAAACCACAGGACACGGTCTTTGACAAGTCCTTTAATAAAAGAATGTCCCCCGAAGTAGATCCAACGTCAAACATGGTGTCAGGCTCCGGCAACCCGAAAAAAGAAAAAAAAACGTTCTGCTTCCGACTGTGGCTGCCAGTCTTCTGCAGTGAGGTTCATTGACAGCTCTTCAATGATGTCACGTGGGGCGGGGTCACTCGGATGATGTCCCCGGCTGGCCCCGCCCCTTACATATTTAAGGGCTGTCACCGAACCTCACTGCAGAAGGCTGGCAGCCACCGTCGGAAGCAGAATGTTTTTTTTTTTTCTTTTTTTGGGGTGCCGGAGCCTGACACCGTGATTGACGACGTTGGATCTACTTCGGGGGACATTCTTTTATTAAATGACTTGTTTAAGACTGTGTCCTGTGGTTTTTTACACTACACTTTTTGTTTTTTTTGTGAATCGGTAGCGGAAGTACCGCATACTCATTCACGTAGGGGGGGCCCGGGATCTGGGGGCCCCCTTGTTAAAGGGGGCTTCCAGATTCTGATAAGCCCCCCACCCGCAGACCCCAACAACCACTGGCCAGGGTTGTGGGGAAGAGGCCCTTGTCCCCATCAACATGGGGACAAGGTGCTTTGGGGGGATCCCCAAAGGGCCTGGTATGGATTGGAGGCACCCCCCACACTGTTTTTTCCATCATTTTTAATTGCTGGCAATTGTTTTGTTTACATTCCGCTCTCAGCTGACAGCTGATGACTCATTGGTTGTTAAGGATGCAGTGGCCACCTGCTCCTTAACACCCATGACAGTTACTAGTTGTTAAGGACACTGGTGGTCGCCTGCTCCTTAAAAGTGCGGTATTAAGTAAATATGTCAGATGCCGTTAAATTACTGCATGTTTTCACTACTTAAATACTGCATGACGTTTTGTATTGATTTTTTTTTTATTTTAAAAAACTGTGCGGTATCTCACCGCATACTCAAATATGACGGTAAGATACCACTTTGGGAATGGAGCCCACTGTCACCAGTGCAGTATAGCATCATCATATAAACTGGTGTGGTGGTGATCAGGGACACTGACTGGTACGAAAAAGAAAATACATTGTTTTTCCAGTTTTTTTATTACATTTGTTTTCTTTTTTTTACCATTTTTTTTTTTAAAACAAACTGTGACCAGAGCAATAAAATGATACCATAGTAACATTGTACTACTCTGGGGAAGTGATGAGGATTTTTTTTTTATACATTATGATTGCTTATAGCAGTGACTTTCATAAGCAAGCATTTTTACTGAATGAAATCGATTCAGGCAGTATGTATTGTTGTGATTAGCTATGATTGGCCACAGCTAATCACATGGCACAGATGGACTATGATTAGTTCTGCCTGTACCATGTGATCATGTGACCAATCACAGCTAGCAACACAATTGTACACAACGAATGGCATAAATTAAAGCTCTTCATTGTTTATAAATATTATGTGATCTACTGTGTTTAATCGCAGCAATCACATGGTACCAGCAGCAGGCTGGTACAGTGATCTGTCATTGGCTGTGTCCAATGGACACAGTAGGTGACAGATCACGCCCACACATGCAAGGCGTGTTCCGGGAGGACATCATATGACGTCCACCCAGAACAAGGAAAGTCCTGTCCGGCAGTCATTTGATAATAGTCCAGGTGGGAAGTGGTTAAATTTTTAAATGTTTGTGGTTTCTTTTTCAACTAGGTGGACTACAGTCTTTTTTTCAACCTGATTTTTTCAACCTGATGTAACTATCATATATATATATATATACTGTATATATATATATATACTGTATATATATAATAGTCTATTTGCTTAATGGTTTGTGCATTTCTAAAAAACACAGTGAGTAGTTTGCCCATAAAAGATCTTAAATGTTGGCATAAAGTATATCCTAGGTATTAGATTAGAATAGGAGTGGATACGGACTCTATTTTTAATAGTTCATGTCCAGTAAAAGTAGTGAATAGTAAGACCAGTAATGATCATAACCATTGGAGTTAAGTATATACTTAGGTATTGGATGAGAGAAGGAAAAGTGAATCAGTTTGCATCAATCATAACTCATATCAAATACAGCTAGTTTACTATGCACCATGATTTACAGATTTGAATTGAAAGATTCTAATGGCACCCTACCTCTGCAAGAGGTTAAAGAATGGACTCATTGTAGACATCAAACATGAGTATTATATATTTATAAGCGCTAATGAGCAGGGCCTCCTGTATTAACCACCTCCCACCCACCATATAGTAATATGACGGACGCAAGGTGGTTCTTTCGTTCTGGGAGGACATCATATGACTTCCTCCCATTCTCACCGCGCATGCACGGCTCACGGAGCACGCAGCGATCAGCATTGCGCTGTGTCCCTCGGACACAGCCAATCACGGAAAGAGCTAAAGATGTCGGCTCGGTCATGTGATCAGCTGTCCAATCACAGCTGATCATATGTAAACAGGGAAATGTCGGTTATCAGCATTTCTGTGCTCTCGAGCTGTCACACTGACAGAGGAGAGGAGAGCCGGTAATCGGCTTTCCGCGGAGGGGACATGTACACTGATCATCAGGGCACTGATGATCAGTGTGCCCTGATAATCAGTGTAGCCCCAGCAGTGCCACCTGTCAGTGTCCATCAATGCCTTGTGTCAGTGCTCATCAGTGCCCCGTGCCAGTGCCCATCAGTGCCACATCAATGCCACATATCAGTGCCTACCAGTGCACATCAATGCCACATATCAGTGCCCATCTGAGCTGCCTTTCAGTGTCACCTATCAATGCCAATCAGTGCCACCTATCAGTGCTGCCAATCAGTGCCAGTCAGTGCTGCCTATCAGTGCCTGTCAGTGCCACCTATTAGTGCCGCATATCAGTGCCAGTCAGTGCCTTCTAACAGTGCCAGTCAGTGCCGCCTATCAGTGCCGCCTATCAGTGCCATGTATCAGTGCTGCCTTTCAGTGCCCATCAGTGATGCTTGTCAATGCCAATCAGTGCCATCTACCAGTGCCTCCTAAGTGCCAATCAGTGCCACCTATCAGTGCCCATCACTGCAGCCTCATTAGCGCACATCAGCGAAGGAGAAAAATCACTTATTTACAAAATTTTTATAACAAAAACTAAGAAAAAACTTTTTGTTTCAAAATTTTCAGTGGTTTTTGGTTTAAGAAAAAATAAAAAACCCAGGCCCAGATAGAGCTTTATTTTGGTAATTAAATGCCACCAAAATAAAGCTCTATCTTTCACAAAAAAAATTATAAAAATTTCATATCGGTACAGTGTTGCATGACCGCGCAATTGTCACTCAAAGTGCGACAGCGCTGAAAGCTGGAAATTGGCCTGGGCAGGAAGGGGGTATAAGTGCCCTGTAGGCTTGTGGTTAAATAGTATTTTAACTGTACTGTTTGTCCTCATGTTGTAAAGTGTAAAACTGCTGGCGTTATATAAATCCTGTATAATAATAATAATTTTACAAAGCGGTGTTTAATTAAATGTTCACATTTCCATGATGGTATCTCCTTATAACCACTTGTGGTTTCTCAATCAAAATGAAAATCCTGGCCTGGTGTGATGGCTGGAAACCAATCTTCAGTCTTCCAATAAGGCTCCAGAGCCAAAATAGACATCATCATAACATTTCGGTCACACACACACAACCTCGATCTTTTATTGTCCCTCATTTGGAAGTGCTGTTCCTGTTTTTAGAACCAAATTCCTCTGTCCCTTTCTCCTACTAAATTGTCCCTCTTTTTTAATCTTATGTATAGATCTTTATAAAAAAATTTACTGTTTAAATCCAAAAAGTGTTATACTACACCAAAAACTTTAATTCCACATTCACTACACATTTTAAAAAGCTAAAATAAAGGAAAAATAGTATTGAAAAAAAAACTTTTTTGTGGAGTTAACCATTCCTCAGTTTAACCATTTTATGTACATTAGTTCTTTCTGGTCGACTAAATTTGTGGCGTGGTAGGGGTGTGTCTTTTGCCTGTATACATTGAGATAAAATGTGTCCCTCAGAAAGTTGGGTGGTATAACTATACTGTACTGCAACCCCTTAAAGCAAGAGATGCGCTTATTTATCCTCTGACATCAAGAAGAGCCAGCAGCATATGTACTGAGCACAAGATCTATGCAGAATACAGCAAGCACCAGTCAGAGAAAGCTTTCCGTCTCTGGGGAAATTAACACAGCACTACAGCTTCATACATTTTTAAAGTGAATACTGTGAGAGAGAGGAGTAAACAGAAATTGAAATGTGATGGAAAGATATGGATGGGAAAAAAGGAACAGATGAAGCAGAAAAAAGGAAAAAAGAAATAAAGAGACATACAGATGGGAAGAACACATAATAACTTGTGTACAGCATCAAATAAAGATTTATAGTATCAATATAATAGAGAATTACCAAAATAAAAGCGCCAAATTATTATATTGCTAGTATCAATTTTAGAAATATGGAGAGACAATATTAAGCAGGGAAAAGGGATACTATGCAGTTTTAATGTAATTTTAACACTGTACTATTTACTTAAGGGGGCCATACACAGATAGTTTTTTTTTTTATCATTCAGCCAGCTGGCTGGCTGCAAATCAACCAGATGGATGAAAGCCCCGCACCCACCCCCCCCCCCCCCCCCCCACCCGCCAGGACATTATTTTCTGACAGCAGCAGGTCCCTTCAACAGAAGTCAAGCGGGGACAGCCACGCAATGCTTTGGAATACAAAACATAGGCTTGTTTAGGTTTAGCTAGGGGGAATATTTATAAAGCAGTGAATCTGGCAGTCACCAAACATTCACTGCAAGTGAATCTTCCAGGTGCATGTGTTTTAAACAAAGTGATTTTTTCACCACAAGTACATGTTTGCTTTATAAATAGCCACTGCTTCATAAATATGCCCCTATGTATATACACAGACCCCAGAAGTAGTGTCTTACTGACCCACATTTTGCCAGGTCCAGTCTTTTATTTATTTTATCACATGGATCTTGGAAAAGGTAGACAGACATGGTGAACATGGTACAATCATATTTTAAAATCAAAGAATTAAAATAAAGATATAAATGTGTGAATGCAATTCATAGAGACTTCCATAATATCTTTGGACTCCACCATCATTACCCATATATGTATGCTCTTCACTTTATCAGTGGGAATTGACCAGGTTTCCATTATGGTAGATTCATTATATTAATACACGAGTAACACTTATGTATCACTTTACATTATTTCATTGAATTTTTTTATTCATTTTAGAAACTTCACCATTACAAATCTAATTTTTTGGATTATTTTCAACCATTTTTGGTTACACAAGAAAATCCATACCCACTATCCACGAGATATGGTACACCCACACAGAAGGTAATGAGGTGAATATATATTACCCAATTAACTTGTATATGTGCATCCTACTAGGCTGAAATGATGATGACAAGCCTTTTGATTCTTCTGAATTCATGATTATCCACAATTTATTGCTAGGAACCTTTTCAAACATACTTTGATGTTCAATAAAAGAACAGTTAAAGAGGAAAACAAATCCATTAGGTTACCAAGTATGGAAATTTCATCTGATGAACACAGAAGAATCCCTATAGCCTCACATTGACCACTTTTGCCCATACAGCTATTTTGAAGACGCCGAACAGTCTTTATTTTAATTCTTTGATTTTAAAATATGATTGTACCATGTTCACCATGTCTATGTCTACCTTTTCCATGATCCATGAGATCAAATAAATTCAATATTGCATTCACCAATGAAGTGATATATTACTCCGCGAAGGATTCAATATAAACCATCTTTTAGGCAGGCCTGCACTAGTCAACTGCCATTTTGTGTTTCACAGTATTGCTGGGTTTACAATCCACACTTAATCAGAAGTGAGTTGGAGATATTACAAGGATATAGTATTATATTTGATTAGTATGGCAATTTTTTCTTATTTTTACGCCAGTCTTTTATTCTTAAAAAAGGTATTCATAAATTCTGAAGAAGGGGCGCCTTGGATCAGGTAAGAGACTAACATTATACAAGTTTATGTCTTGTCTGCTGGGAACTGTTGTACTTTCTTCAAGGGCCTCAACATTGCCAGACATTTTTTCTCATCAACCACTGGCCAGTGGGATAAAACTGGGACTGTTATAACTAGTTTGGAATGTCTTTATATACTGTTACTTGGTAAATGCAGTTCAAATTTCTTCATTAATATTAGTCAGAATACTGCAGGTGTTCTCATAGAGTAGTGTTATTGTCCTATTGATTGTATAAATACACTTGCTAATTTACCATGTCTTGGGTAAGCAAGGTGTGTCATCTTCAGGTGTGCAAAAAAGGCACAAAACAATTCAGGGCTCCTCTGAAGATAGTGCTACAAATCCTTACGGCACAGGGAGCCCAAGGGAGAGTCAGGGGGAATTCAAAGGCAAATGGAGGCATGGGACAGCAACAGGCACACATCAGACTTCCATACAAGGCATTTTTACCCCCTTCCTGCCCAGGCCAATTTTCAGCTTTTAGTGCTGTCACACTTTGAATGACAATTGTGCGGTCATGCAACATTGTACCCATATGAAAATATTATATTATAATTTTTTTCCCACAAATAGAGCTTTCCTTTGGTGGTAATTAATCATCCCTGGGTTTTTTTTTTATTTTTTGCACTATAAACAAAAAAAGACCAAAAATTTTGAAAAAAAATAAGGTTTTCTTTGTTTCTATTATAAAATTTAGGCAAAAATGTATACTGCTACATAACTTTGGTAAAAACAAAAAACAAATCAGTGTATATTATTTAGTCTTTGTGAAAGTTCTAAAGTCTACAAGCTATGGCACCAATCATTGCAAATTGATCACACATGAAGCACTGATGGCCTATTTCATTTCTTGAGACGCTAACATCCTAGGAAAGTACAAAAAGTCCCAAAAGACCCCTTTTTGGAAAATAGACAGTCCAAAGTATTTAGAAAGACATGATGAGTTTTTTCTCACACCTGGCATAGACATACTTGCAATTGCACCCCAAAACACATTCTGCTACACCTCCTGAGTATTGTGATACCACATGTGTGAGACATTTCCACAACCTGGCCGCATACAGAGACCCAACTTTCAAGTAGAACCTTCACACGTTGTAGGAGCATAGAAGTGGCATTACACATCTAATTTCCTGACTACCTATCACAGTTTTGAAGGCCCTGGAGCACCAGGATGATAGAAGCAGTCACAAAATGACCCTATTTTGGAAAACAAACATCCCAAGGTATATTTTATAAGGCATAATGAGTTTTTTGAACATGTTATTTTTTTCCGAACGTTTTTAGAAAATGTGGAAAGAAAAATAAAAACTTTTTTTTTTCACACAAAGTTGTCAATTTATAAGATTTTTCTAACACACAGTGTGTACATACCAATAATTATGCCCCAAAATACATTCTGCTACTCCTTCTGAGTATGGCGATACTACATGTGTGAGACTTTTTCACAGCTTGCCCACATACAGAGTTCCAACATCCAAGTAGAACCTTCATGCATTCTAGGAGCATAAAAAGGGCATAAATTACACATTTAATTTCCTGACTACCTATCACAGTTTTGGAAGGCCCTGGAGCACCAGGATGGTGGAAACACCCACAAAATGACCCCATTTTGGAAAGCAAACATCACAAGGTATATTCTATCAGGCATAATAAGTCTTTTAAACATGTTATTTGTTTCCAAAAGTTTTTAGGAAAAAGTGTGGAAAGAAAAATTATTGTTTTTTTTCACACAAAGTTGTCAATTTATAAGATTTTTCTAACACACAACAACATGTACATAAGAAGAAGTATGCCCCAAAATGCATTCTGCTACTCCTTCTGAGTATGGCT